AAAATAATATACATTTATGCTGTAAAATTTTTCATTGAAATGCAAGAAGACATTTAATAATTAATGTTTTCTTAATAGTTAAAAAAAGGTTTTAATAGATATAAATAGTTTAAAATATATTATTTTTTACAGTAATATCATAATAATAAATAAAATAATAATAAAAAAAAAATGCATACTCCAGGGATCGAACTTTAATTTTTTTTGACCAATCGGGGCTCTATGGAGTAAAATGCCGAAACACGGTTAAATTTTTTTGTCTCAAAGTATCACCTCAATTTTTTTCAAACAAATCCGTGATATACTAGCTTGAGCGTCCCCTTATGAGTCGAAAAGTCCTCTACCGTTTTGCAATTTTCGTAATTGCATTTCTCGCTAAAAGTAATTTTAACATACATATGCGTGTCTCCTGCATTCTCGAATCATCCTCGTTCTGATTAATTGGTTCCCATTCGCGAACAACCTATTTAACATTATTATTAAATTTATCACTGATATTAAATCAGACCTTTACATTTCTTCGAAATTATATCGCGATAATAATTATATTTTTAAACATATCTCTAAATCACAATTATGTCTCAAAGATGCCAATCTTATCGAATCGAGATGGGGTTGTATGCACGGCATATGCATATATATATTCAACGTAGAGAACAAAGAAGCAGTAATGAATCAGAACATTTGATGATCTACAAATTCCATTTCTTTGACCAGATTGTCACTTGCACCTTGTAACAATCTTCGTCTTTCATTGAATATTTGGACGCACCCATATTCTACGAGCTTCTTTCTTTTGACATATCATCAATTTCCATATTTCAAACAGTTTTATAACGTTTTTCATTGGCAGAGCTAGTGCGCACTCAGTGCAGTTTAATGCCGTTGTACACAAATCGATGTAGAGAATATGTGTTTAATAAAAATATAGAAATGAGTTAAACTACGAAATCTTAAATATATTTTATTGTGTTATTTGATAAAATATACACTAGGCATTTTATCTTTTTAATCTTACTTTACCATTCAGATTTTGGAGTAGCGTATAACGGCTTTAATGTGCACTGAGTGCGCACTAGCTTTGCCAATGAAAAACGCTATTAGTATGTGACGTTGCCTAGCTTTCTGTTGTTGAAGTGTTTGTTTCATTTTCTCCCACTTTTGCCATCGTTTCCATTATCAACAACACCAGATCAGGATTCATTATAATGGATGATATAGTACTTTTCTGGAATAAATTTCGAATCACTTTCTAATATATATGAAATTAATATTCAAATTGTAAAAATATATAAACTATAATAAAAAATAATGTGAGCTTAATAATAGTATTGTTCGTTTTATCTCTCGGGAGCTGCTCGGAGTCGCTCCAAACAAACCCAGCGTATTTGGATGTGATTCATTTAATGCTGTAAATACCTCGAAACATTTTTTGATTGATCAATTCGTAAAATTCTTTCTTCTGATTGATCAACGAAGCATTTGCAGCATTAAATGGATCACATCCAAATACGCTGGGTTCGTTCGGAGCGACTCCGAGCAGCTCTAGAGAGACAAAACGAACAATAGATACTAATGAAATGTATACGTCTCATCAGGCCGCGTAAATTTTTGATAGCGATTAAGATCTTTGCTGAGTAAAGTAACTTGTCAACTACTGTAAATTCTCGAATCACGAAAGAATTAATGAAGAACCGCACTATTGCTCCTTTAAATATTTTGTATTCTAACTAAGAGTTTTCGCATAATTAGATTTCTTTTGGAGGACGCGACGAAGTTGTGCCGACACTCAAAAGTACGGTTACAAATTTGGCGTATGATGAGACGTATTTGCCAAATTTGTAACCGTACTTTTGAGTGTCGACACAACTTCGTCGCGTCCTCCAAAAGAAATCTAATTATGCGAAAACTCTTAGTTAGAATACAAAATATTTAAAGGAGCAATAGTGCGGTTCTTCATTAATTCTTTCGTGATTCGAGAATTTACAGTAGTTGACAAGTTACTTTACTCAGCAAAGATCTTAATCGCTATCAAAAATTCGTTGGGCGCCAGGCACGAGAGAGCGTGCCACTCTTCGCACAAATCGTTAGATAAATTGCTCGGACAAGAAATTAAAGATTGCGCGGATTCTCGCGACGGAACTAAACAACTAGCTCAGCCACGGAATTGGCAGAGGGGAGTGGTTCGCGGGGAAATTGTCGGAGAACGATGGAGAGGCTGAAATAAATGCACCAGAATTAATAATAACAATAAAGAGAAATCGATATATTTAATAGAGACTGTACAAAAGTGTTCGAAAGAAAGTACGTTACAGCGTTGACCTTCCGCGCTCTGGTATGCGGCGCAATAACAATAAACCGACTATTAACTGGCCGTCGACAACAGGAAGTAAATTCGGCAATAATTCGCCGAGCAGAAATATGCGACCAAATCTAGATCTTATTATGTTAACAGTAATTACTTCGTGAACAATTAGGATATACGATTTTACATTAGACGGCAACGGTTCTCTAATACGCAATAACGCCAGTCTCGACTTTAAAGATTCTCAATAACTAACAATGACACAAGTGACTTGGCGGCAATAAGGGCGAGCAACAACAATAATTATTCTTTCCAAATCTCAACGTCCGAGCGGATGGCACGCACTTACGGTAACGATTACTCTAAAACGCCTTCAGGCGGTTAAAACGACATCGGGAACTCTAACACGAAATACCGCCTAACGCGCGATCCACTCGAGACGCATTTCACATACCATGACCGGTGGTTTTACATAATTTCGTAATGACGACGCTCGCCTCACCACGTTACGATCCCTCGTCGATCTGTACTCATCTTGCTAGTTCGGCAACGGCAGTTATTCTCGTCAACAAGCCCTCTCAATAATCTCGTAACAGACGTCCAGAGATTCTCTCAATAATTCGACCATGCTTCGGGAGATCCTCTCAATACGGCATCGGAGATCCTGCGTCCTCTTTACAGCTGCTCGATTACCGCACAAGTGACGATCGGGAGCTTCCGCGGATCCACGCAGGCCGTTAGGCCCCTCTTCTATCGGGCCGCTTCCTGCTCTAATTGGCTTATCACAGCCACGCGACCTCGCGACAAATCAGAGCGAGTCCTGCGAGTCGCGTATCCTTTGGATGTCTGGCGCGCTTTCCAAATAAGCTGAAAAGGCTTCCTGCCCGATCTGCGATTTTTCTGCGCTCTCCTCGGAAGTTAAAGGTTCGGCTATAGTTCGGCCAGAGTCCAGACAATCCTTTAAGACGTCTCTCTCCGAGGCGTCTGCAATAAAAGTGCGGCAATCACCAAATAATCTCAATAATAAATTAGCAGGGGTTACAGAACAATACGACCTGCGTGTACCGCGCTCCTCGGTGACGCAAACTAGATCCTCTCAGGTTATTTCTTGCTTCTTCGACGATGTCTTCTTTCTTCCTTCCGTAAGTGAGGCGGCAAAAATACATGAACCTATCGTACCATTGCTCACGCTCAAATATGACTAAAAATCGTTATCAAAAGTCTGACAAATAACTAAATATTTTATACTAAAAATTATAAGTTTGGCACGCTCGCTTGTGCCCTCGCCCTTCGAGCTTAGAGGACACAGGATCTCTCCGTAAATGCAATCACAAGTGACTGACACAAAGTGTCACGTCACAACGT